AGTGGCAGATGTCAGAAAAAGGGGGAAAGTTATAGCACTCCATTCTCCTTGAGACTTAAGAAGTTTATACAGTTGTTCTCTTCTAGCCTTTGAAGTAAACACTGATGCATACGCGAAAGCATAAATTGAAAAGGACATCAGACATAGTTCAGACCAGTGATCCTCAAATGAATCAGAATCTCAGGGTTAGGGTACTGAGGATCTGCATGTTTAACAAGCTACCCAGGTGATTCTGATCAGCCAGCCCAGCATTTGTGAGAACCCAGCATTTGGAAATATCTGGCCTGGTCCAATGCTCTTATTCTACAGATAAGAAAATGAAGACCCACAGAAAAATTTAAAAAGTATTAGATGTGTTAATCTATTATGGACCAGAAACCATGTTTTCTGGCTCCCAGCAGATCCATCTTCCCAGGAGGTCTTAGGCCACCTGCTTTCCTCCATAGACAAGGCCTACTTAACACATGAGGCTTTGAGGTGTGCATCTTGAAATCTGCTGAGGTCTCCTGACTTCCATTGCAGGCTCTTTCCACTTCAACACCCTGCTTTCAAGGTTGAGGCTCTTAATTGCACTAAACCACTGCATCTGTGAGAAGGCTGCTACATCATTCTTCTCTGTTCTATTCTTTTGTTATTTGATTTTCATGAATTCTTTGAATTTATTTTCTGTAGATTCCCTTCCTTAGTCTACTGATAAAAAGAAGTTAGGTAATTAAATGAAAATACAGTATTGTTCAATATGGGTAAAAATTATTTGTAAGGCACCAGCTAATGGCTCCACATTAACTACATAATGGACCCAAACACCCAGCAACCCCGGAACTAAGAGTGAGTAAAATGAACTTTGCTTTGTAAGTTTCCTGAATAGACAGTACATAACCAACACATTTAAAGAAAAAGCACTCATCCATCTCTTCATTCATTCACCAGATATGATTGACCATCGACTATATACCAGCACTGATCTAGACATGGAATACAGTTGTGAGCGGGAGAGAAAATTCCCTACTCTCATGGAACTTAAGTTCTAGAGGGAAATTGTATGTGAAGCCTATCTAAAACAGAACTGTGCAGCCCCCTAGAGGATAAACTCCATGAGGGCAGAGATTTTTATCTGTTCTGTTCATGGCTGTGTATCTGGTGCCTAAGCAGTGCCTGATACACAGTAGATGCACAGTGGATAATGATTGAGTGAATGAGCAACCATCAGATGAAACAAAAACTACAGCCCCTCCCAAATTGACTATTTTACAAAAAGAAATAGAATAGGTGTTTATGAGAAGCATTATTTACATAGGGGATTAAATCATCATTTGCATTTGTTTCTAATTTGCTAGATTTTTATAAACTTTTTTTTTTGCTAGATTTTTATAAAGCTTTTGGTGAAAAATAAATTTTTATATCAGAGTATGTACTCTCAGGTGTGTGTATGGCATATGTAGATATTAACCCACTTAGCAGCTGGAAATATATACCTATAAATATTTAAATAGGGGCCAGCCCTGTGGCATAATGGTTAAGTTCACTTCCTCAACTTCGGGAGCCTGGGGTTTGTGGGTTCGGATCCCAGGCACAGACCTACGCGCCTCTCTTCAAGCCGTGCTTTGGAGACATCACATACAAAATAGAGGAAGACTGGCACGGATGTTAGCTCAGGGACAATCTTCCTCAAGCAAAAAGGGGAGGATTGGCAGCAGATGTTAGCTCAGGGCCAATCTTCCTCACCAAAAAAAAAGATTTAAATATTTATAATGTTTGTTTTATAAAATAAAAGATACTTTTATGTACAAGCTAATGCATTCAAGGATGAAATGCTTTCATAGAACTGGAATGTTTGTTGTGACAAAATAAAAAGTACATTCAAGTGAGCTGCATATCAAGTTACAGCCTGTTCAGGTTGTAATGGCTGTGGTAAGCGTGCTCTCATTTTATGCAGGCTTCTAATTTCTTAGCTTTCAAAACATTTAAGAGCTGATGTCAAACAGATATGGATTTACATACATGGTGTTTCTCTGCCGTTGTCCCCAGAAAAGTATATCTCTACTGGGTGAAAGAGTGGTGGCCAAGCTAGGAATACAAAATAAAATGAAAGAGTTTCAAAATAGCTTGTGATTGATTAAATACAAGTACCTCAAAATAATATCCCTAAGATGATTAGTTTATAAACAAAGTATGTGATGGGAAAAATGGTTTTACAAAAATTTGTGGTAAGACTACTCTAGATGTCCTGGTCTGTAAACAGCGTTACCTTCACTCTTACTACCTAAAGAAACTGCTGTTGAATTTTTTTTTATGAAACAAAATTGGGAAATGGCTCAATACCTCCAAAAGGCAGAGTCCACCCTAAGTCCCTGTAAATTTACCTTGCAGTCTCAAGATACGAAAGCTCCTCAGCTTCCCAACTGTCAACAGATACCACTTTCAACACTGTAACATGTCTCCCATGTTAAACACTGAGAGATGACAATGTTGATGGAGCTAGAATGGAGAGGAGCTTGTTAGAACGGACGCAAAATTTAAGTCGTGAGGAAATGGCAAACGTGTTTCAGGAATGAATTGTTTGACAGTAGGAACAATTCTGTAGGGCTTCCAGTTTGTGCATCATTTAAAAAGTGCTGTGCCTGAGCAATCCATACTAATCAGCAGGAGACAAGGAAAAGGATGAACAATTGAAAAGATGGAAAACTTGTAACCACAGGATCAGCCTCAATGTCCAATATCTCTTAAGCTAAAATGAATTCAAGAGACAGCTGGGAGTTTGAGAACTTAAAGACTAAGCATATTGTGAAATACTGCTGCTGAAATTTTGGTCACAAGCCATGGATTATTCATAGAATCAAGGCCAGTTCATATTTGCACAATATTGAAGTGAGCAGCTAAGTCATGAGTGCACCATACAGATGTGCTCAAGGGCTCCCTACCACTCCTGCAGAGGTTACAGTGGGAGGAGAGGGATTTTCAGTGTAGACAAAACTATTTTGGGAAAAGATGTGCATAGACAGACAAAGAAGTAAATATAAAGTATCTGAGCAGAGAGAAGAATAAGCCTGGTTTTTAAATTTCTGTAAGAATTGACTCATATTCCTGTTGGTATAATGCATATCAGGACTAAGTTCAAACTCTTCTTAGTTCACTGGAAATCCTAGATCCCCCCCAAAAATTTGAAGAGCAGATTGAAATACCCAACTTCTTTTTTATAGCGTGTTGGTTGCAGAGGACTTTTGTTTCATTTAAAGCATTCAAGTAACAATTTTAACTTAGAGTGATCTGTGATGGTGCCAACAGCTATACATGAGCAGTGTCGTGTTATAAGTTGCTTATTAGGAAAATAAGAAACAAAATGCAGGCATCTTTGGATAAATTTTTAGAAGATTGTAAAGAAGCAAGAAGAGTCAGGACCAATGTTATAAACATCTCCTTTTCTCTCCTGAAAGTAATCTGCCCACGTTCATTATCTGTATAGTGTCATTTGGACTCTGAAACAAAATGGTCTCAAGACCTAACCTATTCGTAAGTGGAAGGGCTCTTGTTCTGTGCAGAAGTGGCAGGAGAAGTTTTCTTCTGAAGTCGAGCTGACCTATCAGCAAAGACTAACACATTGGTTGTCTCCATTATGTTAAGATTTGATATAGGGGACGGCCCGGTGGCGCAAGCAGTTAAGTGCGCGCACTCTGCTGCGGTGGCCCGGGGTTCGCCGGTTCGGATCCTGGGTGCGCACCAACGCACCGCTTGTCAAGCTATGCTGTGGCGGCGTCCCATATAAAGTGGAGGAAGATGGCATGGATGTTAGCCCAGGGCCAGTCTTCCTCAGCAAAAAGAGGAGGATTGGCAGATGTTAGCTCAGGGCTGACCTGCCTCACAAAAAAAAAAAAAAAAAAAAGATTTGATATATAACACTTTTGAGTATATGTGTTAATTTTAAATTGTTTTTTAATAACTAAAAATATTTTTTAAATAAAATCTGACCTCATATAGGATGTTTCCTTCACCTCCATCTTTCTTCCCTATCTTCATCTCTGATGGAGGTAGGCAGTGGAGGTGGGGATCTTTTGACATAATACAACATAATAAAAATTATGCCAAGAGAAGTAGAAAAAAAAATTACCCCACAGATTATTTACTGATTATACAGGAGGAAACATATGATTATTTTGTGGAGCATCTGGTAGTCACCACCTTAACCAAGTGATCAGATTTGTAGCATTACTAAGAGTGGGACAACCTGACATTTTGTGCCTCCTGAACTGATGCAATATCGAGTGCATAATATTCCATATAAAGTATTCTTGCCAAAAATGTTTAACCTAAATCTAAGCAGTCTTCTTCAGACCCAAATTTCAGTTTCCAAGCAAAACAGGGACAAGTTAAATGACACAATGAAGAAATAATATGACAGATACAAAAAGAGAGACATTTTATAAGACAACTACCCTAGTCTCCTCAAAAAGTCAATGATTTTCATGAAAAAAGTTAGTGGTTTTTATTTTCATTTCTTGAAAAATGGGGAGGGACTAGTCTAGATTTAAAAGACTAACCAGAGACATAAAAACCAAATGCAATGTGTGAATCTTGATTAATTCCGGTTTGGAGAAAAAAACTGTAAAGGATATTCTTGGGACAATTGGAGAAATCTGAATATGGATTGTATGTTAGATGACATGGGATTATTGTTAGTTTTTTAAATTTGGTAGTGGTCATGTGGTTATGTATGAGATGGCCTATGCTTACAAGATGTGTGCTGAAGCTTGGGGGAGTGAAGTCGTGATGTCTGCTACTGCCAAATCTAGATAGAGTGTGTATGTGGGCTCATTGTACTGTTCTTTCAACTTTTCAATATGTTTGAAAGTTTTATATGTTTTATATAGTTCACTATAGAGATATAGAGGGGGGGATATAGAGAGGGAGAGAGTTGACTTTTATTCATTATTTATTATGAGAAACAAACGTTATAGAAGCACTAATAATTTTTAAAGAACTAATTTCCCCTTTTTCTATTTTAGGCTCAAGAGAAAGGAAGATTAGACTATGCTAAGGTAGGTAGATTTTATATATACTACACAGTTTTATACATTTCAATTTGGTGTTTGGTTTTTGTTATATTTGAAAAGTCAAGGGCCGGCCCTGTGGCTTGGCGGTTAAGTGCGCGCGCTCCGCTGCTGGCGGCCCGGGTTCGGATCCCGGGCGCGCATGGACACACTGCTTCTCCGGCCATGCTCGGGCCGTGTCCCACATACAGCGACTAGAAGGTTGTGCAACTATGACATACAACTATCTACTGGGGCTTTGGGGGAAAAAAAAAAAAAAAAAAAAAAAAAAAAAAAAAAAAAGAAAAGTCAAAAGAGAATCATCACATTCAAAGCTAAGGGACAGTCCCTGTTAAGTAACAGGCATTAGCTGGTAAAATAAGATTCATTCAACGCTAAATTTATTTATTGAGTGCCTACTTCATTCCAGACACTGTGGTAGGTGTTGGGAATACAACAGTGAACCAGATCAAGTCTTTCCTTTCATGACATTTACAATCTAGTGGGGGAGATAGATAACTAATAAACAACTAAATGGATACATAATATAATGTCAGGTGGTGATAAGTGCTGAAAAAAAAAAAACCAACTGGGTAAGATCACTAACCATTGCTGGAAAGATGCCTTTGGCCTATGGATGGAAACCAGCTTTTAGCATCATCAGATAATACCTGGGAAGCACAATACAGATTTGGATCCTAAAGGCAGTAGTTTTCACATCACCTGTGGAGATTTTGAAAACACACATTTCCTAGGTTACCTCAGCATCACACCCTCTTTCACCAAGATCAAAATCCCCTGGCAGGGAGAGCAGGGCAGGGACAGGATGGAAGGGTTTGAAAAGAGGCTCCACAGATAATTCTGACACACAGCCTTGTTTAAAAACTGCCAAGGGAGTTCAGATTTCAGTGCACCAGTGCAAGCCTGTGAAGACACTTGGGTCACATTCTGTTTTCCCCTCAAGACAAATGGAACATTTCAGCAGGTGTGTGGAATGCATACAGCTGCTTGGCTAAAGGAAAGGACCATGCTAACCATTGGGTTTATGCCACAGTCGGGAATATCCAGGGCGTGAGCACACCTGCACTCCAAAGACAAGGAAGAAATGTGACCTGTAAGGGCTCTGTGTGCAGTAGGAAAACTAAACCACACTGCGGTCTCTCCAGGGCTGACCCGGAACCTTGTGCTCTGCTGACAGCCCCAAGGTGCACACCCATGGCTCCTTTACTCTAACTCTTTTCCTTCCCTGAAGTGCAGTCCCTCCTTTCCTCTGTCTCACAAACTTTTGCCTCCTTCAAGAAAAATTAGATCAATAGGAGCACCTCTAAACTGAGGACTTCCAGATCTGTCACTCTATCTTAGATGTCTACTTGAGCCTTATCATATACCCAAACGTGGGCTGTGGACATATCCTCTTGGGTCTCCCACAGGCAAAGAAGCTCAATGTGTCAAACTGAACTCAGCATCTTCCCTGGCATCTCTGGTTTTTGGGTTTTTTTAATAGACTTTATTTTTTAGAGCAGTTTTAGGTTCACAGCACAATTGAGTGAAAAGTATAGAGAGTTCCCAATACCTACCTGACCCCACACATGCACAGTCTTCCCCACTATCAACATTCTGTACCAAAATGGTACATTTGTTACAGTCAATGAACCTACATTGACACCTCATTATCACCCCAAATCCGTAGTTTACATTAGGGTCCACTCTTAGTGTTGTATCTCTGATATCCTTTTTACATATTCGCTTTCCTGATGTTTGCACTGTCATCCCACCAGTCAACCATGTGAGAAACTTAGAAGTCACCCTTGAATGCTCCTACTCCCTCACCCCTATGTTCCATGACCAAGATGTGCCGGTTTTATAGCCTACATTTTCTTGAATCCACCCCCTCCTCTTGATCTCTCTTCCATTGCTCATATTGAGTCTCTTCATCTGAACCACTGGAAAGCCTACTGAACAGTCTCCATGCTTCTCTTTTGTCCCCACAGATCCATTACCAGTCAGAATATCTATCTAAACCACAAATCTGACAGTTTCACACTCCAGCTTAAAAACCCTTCATTGGCTCCATCTTGTCCAGAAGGCAAATTCAAAGCTTGCTAGATTGTCATATGAAGCACTGTGTGATCTCGCTCCCTAGAGGGACCCTCCAGCTTCATCTCCTCCCACCTGTGCTCCAGTGGCACCAAATTACATAATACATACTGCTTCTGTACTCCATGCCTTGACTCATGCTGTCCCCTTTGCTTGGAATGCCTTTCCCCTTTATCTGGCTACCCCTGCTCCTCTTGTAAGGCTTAATTTAGGATCATCTTCTAAAGGAAGTCCTTTCTGGTTCCCCAGGCTGGATTAGGTGCTTTCCTCCATTCTTTAACACACTGTGCATCTATCTCTCAGTCATTGCACTTACTCTCTTATTTTACAGTGATCATTTATGAGACAGTTCATCGACTGTGAGCTCTTTGAGGGCAGGGACAGTATCTTATTTGTCTTTGTATACTTGGTGCCTGACACAGTGCTTGGCACTTGATAAATGGTGAGTGAGTGAATGAGTGAATGAGTGAGGCCATGAGTAAGAAAAGAGAAGACACATAAAGTTAGTTGCAGGAGAAATTCTGGTATAGGGCTTTTGATCTCAATCAGAGAGGAAAGGAAAGTTTTTGACACAGGTTACTGGTATCAGCACAATTAAGAAGATTGCTTAGGAAGGTTGTAATAAACTGGCCTGGAGATAAAGGCTGGGATTTCACTGTGATAGTAAAGGAAAGCTAATTTATGAACACAAAAGTAAGGGAAAAGACATCATGATTTGGCAATAGAGTGACTATTGATCATTGATGCTTATTTATGACTCAGAGAACTCCTTTAGGGTTTCTTATTGCAGAAGCACATGACAATAGAAGAGACTTGAAGAAAAAATATGACGCACAGATAGAACTCCCCTGGATCAAGAAATGGCTCTGTCACCAACTCACTGCAGAATCTGATATCAGTCGCTTAACCTCTTTGGTCTTCCTTCAGTTTCCTTAGTACAAAATAGTTTAGAATAGTGCTAGTCTTTAGGCCCAAATTTGAGAGGAGACATTCTTTTTTTGTGGACTGGAGGTCGGGGACATTCTTATCTTGTATACTACTGAGGTCCAGATCCATCCCTTCCTCCATTCATCCACCCAGCCGCTACATATTTGCTATTTCATGTGTGTGAGGCCCTGTGCTGGTGCTGACTGCCGCGAACAAGACTGATGCAGGCCTTTTATCACACCTTCCTTGACTCACACCTCCCTATCTAAAGTGGCCACTCCCCCTTTGCTCTGCTTTTTTTCTTCTTAACATTTATCATAATCTAAAATTATTTTTATTTATTTACTTGTTTCCTTCTTCTTCCACTGGAATGTAAGAGCCCTGAAGGCAGGGTCCTTGATGGCCTTGTTCATGGCCGCATCATCTGTACCCAGCGCAGGCTTACACATGGGAGTGCTTGATAAATGCGTGTGGAAGAATGTTGCATTAATGTTATGCTGGGAGAAGTGCAGGAGGCTGTGAGTGGTCTGGAACTGAGGATTATAGACTCCAATTAGCCATGTTAAGAGTATACTGACTGTATAACACAGTCCATCCCAATGTTCAGTAGCCCTAAGTTTGCCTTCCCAAGTGCCAAAGACAATATTTCTCATGCCAGTAAACACAAACCCACCCTTCTGAAATATATGGTACTATTCTGATATTAAAGGGCATAACTTGATCTAGGCAATTAATCCAGACCTATCATCCTTACATAGACTTAAATGCAAGTAACATGGGGAAAAAAGATTATAACCATCTCTACCAAGTATCTGGGAGATGTCTGCAGGGTACAGCTTGCAGTAGTGTGTCTTATGCAGTTTATCATGGGCCCGTAGCGTGGTCATGGTGCTCATGCTGACTGATGCAGACATCATGCTTAGCAGCTTAGGACTCCCCTGGTGGGTTTTTCTGTAAAACTGCATTTTAAAAACTCAGCAGCCATTTCTAGAGACCGTCATGAAATTTATTTGTTGCTGGAAATTTCATTATTTCTAAGTGGTGAGTATTTACTCAAAAGCCAAATTTTATCTTAAAAATCAGATTTCAAGAACCACAGAAAATTATTTTGGCTGTGTGCTCTGTGGCTTTATATGCCATCTCAAATTTTGTCAGTCTCAGAATGGCAAGGAAGTAGGGGAGAGGGCAGAAGAGGTGATCGTTTCAAAATCAGTCTCAGCTGGAGCTCGAGAGTGTTTGTCACATTCAGCAAAACAGTGGTCTGGCCTCAAACACTCAGATAAGAAATTGAATTACTTTTTAATTGCGTTCTTGTTGCGATAGAGCCTGGATATGAATGCTTTACACTGCTGCGGTGCCTTTCATCTTAAGATATCAAAGCACTTGACAACTATTAATCCATTAAGTCTCTCCCACCTCTGTAAGTGGTTAACACCAGCACAGGAGCACTCTACTCACTACTGAAACTCGTCCACCTGGGGCTGGGCGAGGATGGAAGCTGTTTAACCGTAAGGCGATTCTACCTAGTAGCTTCTAGAATGAAAAAACAAGGACCATCTTACTTACCTAGTTAAAACTGTGGGAGAAGTTTTAGTAGACAGAATGTAATTACCAGAAGTGAATTGTGACCAAAAAACAGGTGCTAACAGTTTTGCTCATATATGTGCCATGCTTTGGGCGTCTAAATTACAGCGATTGGTCTGTAGCCGTGGATGTGTATCTCTCAAACTATTCCATGTTCCCCAGGCTTCTGGCCCCAAGGTTAAGCACAGCTGATAGAGTTCAGTGCTAGAGGGAACAGTGCCACCTATTGAGTTGTAGAAATTCATGGGCATGTGGTGGGACCAGTGGAGAAGCTTCTCGGACCACATTCACGCCTTGGTTTGCTATGGTAACTAATATATGTGTCTGAAAGGAAACGAATATGTTGACTACTCTTGCTTAGAAAAACATCTACAAACGTCTGTGTATTTTCCCCAGCTGGA